CTGCCCAATCCGCGCCCGCCTCTGCGGATCTCTGCGCCTCCATTGGTCGGGGGGCGGGACCGGTCAGCCTCGGCCGAGGAAGCGCGCGAACCGGCGGTCCCAAGTTCGCCCAGGTGCGCCGCTCCCAGGTGCGCCGCTCCCAGGGGGGCCGCTCCCAGGTGCGCCGCTCCCAGGTGCGTTTCCTGCCGCCCCCGGCGCGGTCTCCCCAACTCCAACCCGGGCTGGCCGGCTTGGGCTGGGTCCCAGAGCTCGATGGGGGCGCGGCGCTGCCCAGGTCATAGCTCACAACCCACACGCCAGCCCAGGTCACAGCCCAACCCAGCCAGAGCCCCTCCGGGCGCCTGTTCCCCGCAACAGCCCGTCCTCGCTCCAGCAGCTGCAAGTGACCTGCTGGACGCTTTATCAGGTCGCGGTTCTTTTTAGCTACAACCAGCGGGGAAACGATTCTTCTCCGTCAAGGATCCGCTCAGGGCTCAAGTCACAGGCCACCTCAGGACTCACTAGGACTCCCGTTTCCTGAAATCTTGGGTCCAGTCTGACCTCAACAGCCCAGTTAACGATCCAACCACCTGACTGGGCACATGTTCCCCAAACCTAACCTCACCCCAACCTCCCAGGATAGGTGCAGCGCAATTCATCTCAGCCGCAACCCACCTAGACGCTTGGGTCCTAAAGCCCAATGCCCACCTTCTCCAAAACTCCAGCTGGCACACGGGTGTGGAGAGCTTCTCATTCATTCCAAAATAAATATTCACTGTGGCCCCACGAGGTGCGCTGGGCATTGGCAATAAAGGGATGACGGTACAGCAGAGTCCCTGCTCTCGTGGAGCCGACATTCTAATTGGGGAGAGAGTAGGACACAGAAATCAATAAGACAGTTTCGGACATTGCTAAATATAGATGCAAAAAATAAAACAGTGAAGTGACAGTGGATGACTGAGGGCATGGCTGAGATAGGATGTAGGGGGTTAGGGGCAGTAAGTACCTTTGAAGAGGTGACCACAGTTAAGCTGAGACCTGAAAAAGTAGGAGACAGCCAGGGTGGCTGGAGCCTGTGCAAAACCCTCAAGGTTAAAAAGAGCTTGGTGTGTGCAGCCAGCCAGGGAGCCCGGGGGAGGGAGCGGAGGGGCAGGAGTTGAGCTCAGAGAACGGAGCGGGGACTGGACTATGTTGGATTCAGTAGAGGGTGGCATAGAGTTCGGGTTTTATCCTAAGGGCAATGAGAAATCCCTAGCGCCAGAAAAACATGGCCAAACCTTACTAAATAGTTTCTTTCAGGGGCAGATGAGAGAAGTTGTTCCAAATCAAGGGCATGACCCAAGTGGAGTCAGGAGGTGAGAAGGTCTGGGGGAGACAAAGCTATCATCTCTTTTTGCCCATTACCCAAACCCTGACATGCCCCGTCAAGCAGCCCTCCCACTGATAGGCACCCAAGTCATCAACGTTGGCTTGTTCCCACCACACCCAACCTCAGCACCTCCGGCATCCTGAGATACCATCTCCTTGAAGTATCACCAGCCCGCCCAGCGCCCTGACTAGTGCGGGAACTCCACCCACTTTTCAGATACCTCCATCAATTCCGCGGAGATCACAACCCACATTGGGACCTCCAGCATCAGACGACACCCTGATTTCTCAACGTGCACCCTCCCAGCCAAATCACCAGGCCATGGCTGATATAAGAAATTCAAGTCAAGAAGAATTCTCTTGCCATAGAACACTGATAGGCTGAGATAGGTCACTGCTCTGGGTTAATGGATTGTCTTTAAAATCCGTCCATTCTTGCTTTCTCATAGTTTATGATAAGGATTGAACTAGTACCAGGGGCCAGGCTGGTAGTATAAATGGATGCTGTGAGCTGGGTGTTATACAGTAAGGAGTGGTGGAGACTGTGGAGTACCGGGGATCACATGGCCCATCTAAAGGGTCCTGTGGCTGTTCAGCAGGCCACTCATTGCCCAGAGTTGTGAGCGTTTCAGGTTTCTCAAGACACATAAGGAACCTAGACTTGAGGGGGAAAATCTCTTGATTTTTAGATGTTGGCAACTAATTCAAATTTTTTAAAAAACCGCTAGGTAAGCCACACAAAAACATTTATTTCCTTTTATTTTTCTTTTGACACAATCTCAAATTTACAGAGAAATTACGAGGACAAGTCAAATAACTTTTTATTCCTGAACCATTTAGCATACACTGCTGACACAATGCCCCGATATTTTATGTGCTTGTCATCGGGTGTCACTGCCCTAGAGCCTCTCGGTGGACAGAGGTACACACGCGTGCGCACACACACACGCACGTTTACATCCATAGATACAGTATTTGTTCCTATAGTCATCTATATTGAAAAGTATGAGTTCACCCTAATAGATCCAATTTCAACCTGAGTCGCAGGGTTAATTCTAGTTTTCTCCCTTTCTGTGTTAATAACTCCCTTCTCTGACAGTGAGAAACCTGGTAGTCCCATTGATTTTAACCTGCTCACTCATCTGACCAATCCCCAATATGTAACAATTTCTATAGACGCTCCCTTCTCCCCAACAAGGATGCCCTTTACGCCCCACTCAGGCTCTGACATCCCCCCCCCAATGCCAGGCTGCTTTCCCATGAGGTTGCCTTCCTCACTCACATGAGCTCTGGCCACACACCTAGGCCACCCTCGCCACTCTTCTTATCCCATTTAGGCTATGACACCCTCTGTGGACCAGAATATCCCCCCCCCATTGCTGATGCTTACCTCGCTGGGACCCACCTAATGGGTCTTGGATTGAATTTTTCAGTTATTCGGGAAGGGGAAGGGAGGGGAGGGAGGGGAGAAACACAAACTTTTGGCAAGCTGGCTTTAGCTATGGGCCATCAGCCCCTACCTTCAGCTTACTGCAGTGGGGCAGTCACACAGTCAACCAATATTTATGAGTGTTTACTCTGCACCAAGAAAGACAAAGGGTTAGACAAGAAATAAAGTGTTGTGGGTGGAAATACTGCCCGGCACAGAGGAGCCACCTCATCTCTTTGGATTGTTGGGCATCATACTTGCTCCATCAGTTGCAAGCCCCCCTCCAATGAGCAGGACCAGCTTGGCCAGTAGCGTTAATTCCACTGGTTGGCATTGACTCCGTGGGGGTGAGGTGTTTGCCCTGCAAAGTTGCGTCATTTTCCTGAACCAGCTCCACCCGCTGTTAACAGCTTCTTCCCAAACTGAATCATCTAATTCTGGTTACTCAGACTGTCTCTCCCCAACAGTGTCCCCAACAAAGAAGGTCAGGTTCATGATCCTTCTGCCATTTCATCCTATAACTCAGCCTCCCCACGTGCAACATAGTAATAATATAACAACAGTAACATTTATGGAGCACTGACTGTGTTTAAAGCCCAAAGCCTCCACTTGCTAGCTGTGTGGCCATGGGCAAGCCACTTCCTATGTGAGTTTCCTGTGGCTGCCGTAACAGTGACAACAGACTTGATGGGTTAAAACAACTAAAATTTGTTCTCTCGCAGTTCTGGAGGCCAGAAACCCAAATCTGCTCCCCTGGAGCAAAACAGAGGTGTCCGCAGAGCTGCACGCCCTTGGAAGGCTCTGGAGGAAAATCTCTTCGTTGCTCCCCTGGCTTCCGGTGGCTGCAGGTGTTCTTGGCTTGTGGCTGCACCACTCAGTCTCTGTATTGTCTTCACCTGGTCTTCTCCTCTGTGTGTGAAGTCTCCCTCTCTTTCTCTCTTAGGAGGACACTTGTGATGGCATTTAGGGCTGCCCCAAATAATACAGGATAATTTCTCCATCTCAAGATCCTTCCCTTAATCACGCCTGCGAAGACCCTTTTTTCCAAATAAGGTCACATGGAATGTCCAGGGATTAGGACCTGATCTCTTCGGAGACCATGGCTCAGCCTACCACACCGCGCCTCTCCGAGCCTCAGTTGTCTCGTCTGTACAAGCGGATGGTAACAATGCTAACTGCTCTCGGGGCTGCTGCGAGGTCTCAGCGCGTTAATGTGAATCAGGCAGTCGGCGCGCTGGCTGGCAGGCAGGCAGCCCTGGATGGATGGCGCGGTGATTATGCAGCGATTTCCTGAGTTATTTCTACCCAGTCCTGGCAATTGTGGGGGTAATTGACTCCAATGATGTCACCTCTCCAACTGCCAGGCTTTCAGCAGGATTAAACGTGCCAAATGGGCCTTGTTGCGCCAGCTCCCCCGGGTGCGAAGCGCCCCCGGCCGGCCCGTCTGCTGCAGCTCCCTGGTTGAGGAAACGGCGACATCCGCCAGCAGGCTGTCCCGGGAAAACAGAGCAGCACGCTACAGCTAAATATTGGAACATTTTTTTTTCAGTTCCTGGGTGAAAATAGTACTTTGGGCATTTAAACAGCACAGAGTAGAGACTAGGGAGAAACTTCGCCTCATCCTTGGGCCCACGTGGACAGCCTCGGGAAAAACGCTCTGAGGAAACCCAACCATGTCACTGGCATTGTCACAGCCAACTACCCTTCTTAGTAAATTGGAGAATATGAAAGTAGAAAGGTGGCTTCCTTTAGTCCATTCAGTTCCATGATCACTTACTGAGCTTCCTCAGACCAGACTTTTAGACATTGACTTGAGAGGGGGGGTGGGGGAGATGGAGAGAGAGAGAAACATCAATTTGTTGTTCCACTTTCTTTTTTTAAATCCTGACCTGAGGATATTTTTTCCATTGCTTTTCAGACAGCGTAGAAAGGGGAGAGAGGGGGAGAGAGAGAAACATTGGTGTGAGACACATCAATTGGTTGCCTCCAATGCACGTGCCCCAACCGGGGCTGAGCCTGCAACCGAGGTACATGCCCTTGGCTAGAACTGAACCCAGGACCCATTAGTCTGCGGGCCAACGCTCTAACCACTGAGCAAAACTGGCCAGGGCTGTTCTACTTATTGATACACTCATTGGTTGATTCTTGTATGTGCCCTGACCCGAGATAGAACCCACAGCCTTGGTGTATCAGGATGACGCTCTAACCGACTGAGCTACCCGGCCAGGGCAGGCCCCATGCTGTTAACAGGGGTGAATCATATACAGAATCGGAGCATCCAAAATGAGGACACAAAGGAGCAGATAGGAGCACGGACTCTGGCGCCTGACATACAGACACGGGATCAAAGCCTAGCTCTGTTACTTCTAGTAGTTGTGTGACCTTGGGCAAATGACATACTGTGTGCCTCAGTTTCCTCATCTGTAAAACGGGGGTCCGGGTAGCCTCTTCTTCAAAATGTTGAGAAGTATGTAATGTACCCAGGATGTTAATAACATGGGAAACTGGGTGCAAAGTATCAGGGAACTCTCTGTACTACCTTTGTGATTTTTTCTGTCAATCTAAAAGCTATTCTGATATTAAAAGTTTATTTCAAAATACAGGTGCCCAGGCCCCATCCCTGACTATTTAAATCAGAACTTCTGTCTCAGGGATCAAGCGTCAGGATTTCAAAATTCTCTCTAGATGATTCAGACCTGCAGCCAGGGCTGAGAGCCACCCATGCATTGAAAGCACCTCAGAAAGTACAAAGCACGATGGAAATGCAGGTGGTTATGATTAACCAACCAAGGCACTGTTTTTTAAAAAATTACACAAATAACAGTGACCACTGTACAATAAAAAACCTAGAGAGAAATAATAATTAAAATTGCCCCTAATCCTGTCCTCTAGTGAAACCCACTGTTTGTTTTTTTACCCACTTTTTTTTTTTCATGGAATACCCAGATTTATTATTATTCCTGTTGTTATTACTATTAAAACATGAAACTGGGGCTCTGAGAGGCAGCCCCATGGCCCCAGGGTCTTTGAGCTCACCTGTCTACTTCTGCATCCTTTGTCGTCAGAGTGGGTGGGAGCCTCGCCCAGGTGAGAAGCTGGAGTGGCTGATGTTGAAATGCTTAAAACCCAGGGTAGATACGTGTGCCTTGGCAATGCCACCTGCTAATTAAGCGAGGGCATGCACGGCCTCCAGCGCCGTCACATTTCAGCCAGTGGGGAGCTGCGTCTGTGTCATCTCCCCATTCCTGTTTTCTCCTCCCATGCTAGGAAAAGATATGAGTAAAGATGCTTGATGAGCTACAGGCAGATGTGTGATCATGAGGTTAGAAGAGGGCTGGTGACAATGGCCATTGGGCAGAGGAGGCCCAGAGGGATATGTGAAAGAAAGCGTGCCTACCTGAGATGTACCAGGTGCTCTACTCCTGGGTGCTCGCAGCTTAAATCTCCATTTCCTCTCACAAAGGCAGCCCTAGAAAGCAGCTCTGTTGGTAGTCTTGTGAAAAGGTAAACTAAGGCACATTAACATTTTTCAAGAGTTTATTTGAGCATACATCAATTCAAACTGGGCTGTGGCAAACCAAAGGTGGGGGAGAGGCTTTTATAGAGAAGACAAGGTATCAAAGCAAGGAAAATTATTTGATTGGCTACAGATTAAGCAGTCACCTTATTTGGGAAAGGTGAGTTCGCCGTTTGTGATTGGTGGTTCTTAAGTTAAATTTTCTCAGATTCTGGGGCATTGATTCTGGCTTAGGTTTTGGTTTGCTTGCACAGGCTACTGAGGCATGAGAGCCATCCCCATCTAATGGCCACCTTTCAATTATTTTAACATTCTTACTTCACAGATGAGGATGCTGAGAGATGAGGTGACCTGCCCAAGACCCCACAACCAGCACGGTGTAGGTTGGAATGCACAGGCCACGATGTTCAGCAGGATACTATACTGCATTCAGGAAAAACAGAAAGGAATAAAGGAACGGATGAATAAAGGGAAGGAAAAAATGAAGAGAATGGGAAAACGAAAGAAGAGAAAACGAACTTGTGGCCATGTTTCATTATCTTTGAAATGGAATAGTTGATACATAAAATAACACGTATAGCACATGTGAGTCATAAAATAGACTAATAGAATGAACCCCCTTGAACCTACAACCAATCTAAGGCAGCAGAAAGCTACTAGTAACTTATATCTACTTGCACCAGTGATTCCCCAGCTGGTTGCACAGTGAACGCAGCTGGGGAGCTTAGGCAGCCACTGATGCCCTCAGAGAACCCGGTGGGATTTGCCTGGAGTTTGGTCTGGGCATCTGCATTTTTAAGACCTACCCAGCTGATTCTCATGTGCAGTCAGGTTTGAGAACCACTGGCTTATATTCTCCTCCCCTATAGCATCCCTCCGATTTCCCCCCCACCCTCACCTTTACCCCCTAGGTAACCATCCTGAATTTTGTGTACTGAACCGATTCTTGTTTCGGGAACTAGCGCTGCTGGCGATCGATCTCCCTCCCACCACGAGGCGGCGCCAGAGATAAGACAGCCTCCGCCTCCGCGCGGCGCGGGTCGCGCTGGAGGGGCTTGGCCCTCGCGGCGCTCCGTCGCCGGGGAACGCGCTGGGAAACGGTCCGCCTCGGGATTAGCGCGGTTGCTTGGGACGCTCGGGATCTCCGACCAGGGGACTCTTCGGAAACTGCGGGGCACAAAGAAACGTGAGTCGGGGCTTGGGCTTGGGCTCGGCCGGGAGCCGGCGTT